TCAAGGCTGCCTTATGTTTTGATTAAAAGGCCTGCTTCACAGCCTGCCAGGTCAAAGGGAAGACTCCTACCACCTTTAAGGGGCTCTGGAGCATGTCCTAAACCTTTCTGCATCAAATAGGTTGGGAGTTCATTATTAGAAATGGCATGATTACAATTTACCTTGTCATACAATAAAATAGCAAATTTACTAACATTACAGTGAAATTCCACCGCAAGATATAACTCAAGTTCATGTATTTTTGAGCAAATCAACAAGAGAAGTAAGTTAGATATGAAACCTTTTGCAATGGGGAACTATTAGTTGATTAGAAAGCAAGAGCAGGAGTAAACCAGAAACTGGACCCAGACTTATATTGCTAAGTCATTCTGTTCACCTGGACTGTGTTTAACGGGGTTCCAGCCACACTGGTTTTTAATACACGTATGGATAGAATCAATGCTCTGGTGAAACAAATACAGAAAATTATTTAGCCAGAAGAAAATATCATACCACATATACAAATGTTGTAACGTACAGGTCTCCATCACTTTTTGAAAGCCACCTCAAATACAGTCTTTGTTCGCACTTATTTCTCTTTAAAAGTTCCATACTCAGCACCTACAGTGAAAAATTTATCAAATATATATCGCATCCTTACAGATTTACTGAACACAGGATCTATACATTTAACAATCAGTCAAAGACGTTGTAGATGAAAGACAGAAAACCAAATCACCGTAACCAGAACTCAAGAGAATGGTGCAAAGAAGAGAACTTCCTTTCAGTTTTGGTTTCCAAGATCAGTTCAGATTTCCAGCAGGCAACAGAGGCAGCACAGTAGCATCTATTTTAGGGTAGATGTTTTCCATTCTAGATTTGTTTTTAATTGATTTAAAAAGTGGCGCTATCTGCTTTTAAAGAAAATCTAAATAAGTGCAATGATTCTGTGTTCAGTGCTGCCCTGCATGTTGCTTTTTGGGTTAGCAGTAGCCAGAATACAAGGGTTCACATTTTCAGCTGTAAGCACGCAAATGCGCATATGCTTGGAATGAATATTGTCTCACAGAATTTTCAGATGCACATTAAAAGATGTCACATGTCTCACTACCATATACCTTCTATATAAACAGAACTCTCCATTTAAATATCTACAACTTAAAATTTGCCAGTGGATAGCATCACTCCTAACGATCCGTATAACTTAAGAAGACTATTAGGAGATTTTAGTTCTGACCTTGGCAATACTGATACTAATACTGTACTTACTGTCAGATACAGGAATATTTCTGAGGATACAGAACGGACACACTGAACGTTGCTTTGGATTGCTATAACTACTCTTAAAAGGCAAATTTTAAAGTGTCCAAACCATTGCAGTAGGTTAAGTCCTATTTTTAAAACAACTTAACAGAGAAGAGAGCATAATGTCTACTGCTCAGAATCGTTTTAAAATTTTTTTTTGTAAATCCCGGTTCTGTTCCGTTCTGCTCTAGGAGGTCCTACTGACATCTGGGGCAGTCTGGTACGTAGGCACGACAGCCTGTCGAGAGTCCAGGGACTGTCAATTTTAGCCCTTGCTGTGTATTCTAGATAATTTTGTGCAGCGCCCATGTTTAAGAATGAATTATCTTAGAGCAGCCAAGCAACAGGCCCAGCTGACGACCTGAAAAGCGCAAGCTGTGCCTGTGATACCTAAATTAATGGTCGGCAAAAGGTTGAAAAAGAACAGAATAATTTATTCTAAAAAGCTAGCATTACAGTCATTTATAGCCAAGCTAAAATTAAAGCAGTGAAAAGAAAAAAGCAGATGTAGCACACACAAGTTCTTGAGTGCACTGCGGGCTTGTTCCTGGCTCGCGCTGCCGGGCACACCCAGCACTAAACCGCTGGCACGCAGTCTGTCTGCGTGAGGATTAACAGCACTGCGCACACAGCTGGGCCGAGCTGGGAAAACTGGTTTTGATTTTGACTTTGGTAGCCGGCCAGCAGTGGCCAGGTTTCTTGAGGGTAGGCTGAATTCACAGATGTTTCAGGAGAAAAAGAGAAAAGGCTGGTCGCTGCAAATAAATCGATTCGCTGCCGCAATCGTGCTAACAACATTCTCCGAGGGCCCGGGTCGGCACACCTCCACGCCCAGACTCGGGGCCTGCGAGCCAGCCCGGGCACTGCACCGCTGCAGCTCCGCGCCCGCTGGCCCAGAGCCGGCGGGTGTCCCGGCAGATGGGGCTGCGGGCGCTGCAGGGGCCTGCGCTCAGCCACGGCAGGACACCTTTAGCAGAACACAGCATTCGCTACCCTCTGTTTGTAAGCAACAGAGAACAACAGCAAAGCCAAAATGTGCTGTGATGACAGGTTAGATTGTGATTTCTTTTCACAAAGGCCTACCAGGTTGCGCAGTGCCTAGTTACTTTTACAAAACCACCTTTTCGGTTGCTTGCAAAAATTACATATGACTCTAGGGCATGTTCGCTTGTGCCACAATTACAAAAGCTTTGCAAGAGTGACATGATGTCCCAGAAACACCTGAAATACTCCTGAAGACAGAATTATCTTTATCTGTAAACGTTTCTTGAGTTAAAATCCACCTTCACAAAAACCTATAGGAATACAGATAAAATTGGATTCTGGCTCTATGATGTGTGAGTAGCAGATCCTGTGCTGACAGCAGACATCTATAAGCAGAAGCACCAAAAATTAAAAAAAAAGTGGAACTTCAGGGTTTCTTCTCTTTCTGCTTTAACACAGAGTTTCTGACAACTGTACACGAGCCTTCTGCTGCAGGGAGCACACTAACAATCATTGAGAAAGATCTGTTAGAACAACTCAGCTTGTTCTTGTGGCATGGGAAATACTGTGTAATTTCTTGCTGCAGCAGGAGTGTCCAAATAACTTCAGAAGGCTACAGCCCATTTTAAAATGACTTAAAGGAGCCTTCTGAAACGCAGAAAAGGTGGTTAGATACTAACACTTGCCTGCAGCACTGAAAATTTCTCCTTCAGAAATCCAAGATTTGAAAGTAATTCACAAACCAAATGGGATGTAACTGTTCAAAATATGTAGTCACCTTAAAAACCAGCTGATACAGATAACCTTTACATAGTGCTCAGCTCAGGAAGTATTAATTGTACGTTGAAAGCACACCATGTACTGTGTACTTTACAGGAAAGCGAAGGCCAATCTCTGAGAGTAAAAATACCAGAAAACTAGCTTTGGCCACCATCTGCAGCTGCAGTAAAAATGTGATTTCAGCGTTGCCAGTGTGTTGTCATGTGTACCACTGTTTGCTGAGTCCAACCGAAATTCTCTATTTTTAGCCCTTCGGCTACTTTCAGATAAAATTCCTGCAGATAGGACTAGCTGTATAGCGCAGATAACATATAACTCTGAAACCACAGATGACCTCATGCAACTGCAAAGAAAGACGGGTCTGTTACTTAAAACAAGGCTAAAATTTAACCCAGCTATACTAAAATTAAACAAGGAGTGTTTTACAGTCCCATTACAAGACCTAAACCAACAGTCACTATAAATTCATGGTGTACTTATTTGTAAGGATGTAAAAAGAGTAATTAATAACCCCAAAACAGCTTATCTCTGAGCCACTACCACACCAAAGCTTTCCCAGGCTCGTTGGAGATTTTACAAATAGCACTGAGAAGCTATTTTAGCTGTCATTAGAGAATTATTTCTCCAAACTGAAAAGTCATTGCTCTTTGTCACAAGTCACAAGACATTTTTTAACGTTCCACGCTTTTAGTTGACATTAGAGAGAGAAAATGAGTAAATGTAATACAAACTTTCTGGACAGGGCTTCCACGTGTGAGAACACTTACAACCACAGGTCTGAGCAAGCACTGCACAGTGGTTCTTCTTCGTGCAAAATGCACTGTACCTTCTTATCTTCTACTTCACTCTTTCTGTGCATCACACTATATACCAAAAGGCACCTGTTCCCTTTAAAATGCCATTTATTTCCAATCGATTGACGTGCAGTTCTGAGTACTAGCATTCAAGTTTACCGTAAGTATTTAAGGAGAAATGTGTAAGGAACAGATATGTCACAAGTGACTCAGTACAGATCTGGGTGCTCAGTTTGCATCCTTTGGGATGTGTTGCTCACATCTCTTTTTGTTTGCAGAATATTTGCTGGCTATTTCTTCAGAAGAAATCCTTAATGAGGTTATCTCATACTTCCAGTTGAGGAAGGAACACAGAGAGTTCTATTCCTCAAGAAAAATTTTCACTCCTTAACACCGAATGAACAGTTTAGATATATGAGTGAAATAATCCTAAGGTAAAGAAACTCTTTCACCCCCTCACCAAATCTCTATAAGAGATCAGTAAAGAATTCAAACCATTTCTCTTAACTTTCCCTTTCTTTCTTTAATACCAACATAGGCAAACCTATGTTTTGTAAAAATGACATAGCCTCAACGTGTCACCTAATTTTTCAAGCACAGGCAGCATTGAAATAAAGGGTTACAAAGCACCGAACTATTAATTTGAGATTATAGAACAAGCCTGATTTTCTCTGGCTTCACGTCACTTGAAAGGAGAAACTCCGTTTGTGATAAGGAATGAAAACCAGGACAGAACAAGGTTTGCTATCGTTCTCTCTAAGGAATTGTAGGTGGAGTTATGTAAACAACAGAGCAACGATCAAAGGGAAATCTTAGGGACCGTGATATACTGAGGTACTAGAGGAACAGAGCCTTTTATCTGTTGTGGAGGAAGGAAGTAGAGCACTGAGACTTGTGTAATATATACAATTAAAACCCAAAACCCCAGGTGAGTACCAAAAAAGACCAAAGTCAATTAAAGTCTGTTTTTCTCTTATTCTGTTAAAATGTCAAGAAAGAATCCAAAATGCAATCTAGCACAAAAATTACTCTCTATCACCTGGAAAAGCCAGGCATTCAACTCTATTTTAAGCTGAATTTTTCCCCACATCCTCTGAAACAAGCACTGTTCGATCACAGACCATGTCCTCATTCACTGCCAGTCTAACTGAGACTTACCTTGTCCTCCACTCTGTTCAGCCTGGCACCAATCGTGTTATTCCCTCGATCTTTACTTTTTTCTGTGGAACAAGAAACATTTTCAAATTAATATGTGGTGGTATAACAAAATACCAGCAAGCCACAACAGGGTGTGTTTAACTAGCCCACCAACGCAGTGTAACTGAACACCTTTGCCAGGCTGGTAGTTCTATTCCTTAAAAGCAGCTTTTTGTTTCTTTTTATAGCACTAGCCCATGCCATGGCTTTTAATAGCTCTTAAGTTTAAGGCACTTTCCACCTTAGTTTTACGCTTTAACCCGGGAGAACAAAACTGTTCCCAATTTAGTTAATGTTTTAATTGCTATTTAAAAACAATCTGGTGCTATGCAAAAGACTCTACAGCCAACTTGAACAATGCATTTGGTAACATTTCATTTTTTTTCCCCCTATAAACTAAGTAGAAACATGAGTTTGAATATGACATTAACAGAGAGTTTTAATCAGCCAGACTTGTTGCAAACAAACGCAGTACTTTGTGCTGCTTTTCCAGTCTCTTTCAAAGCTATCAAAGCTCTATGTGAACATTATATAGGAACTCTGTAAGCATAGCACACCATGTCATTGAAAATACAGTGAGTTTTGGAGAGATTAGAGCCAACACTTTGAAAACTTCATTCAAAGTAGGTGCCTTAAATGTCTAAATAATGACGACCCTATTTTAAAGGTGCTGATGACTAAATATTATTGCGGATGCCTAAACTTCAGACCACAACTGGTTGGCACTGTTTAAAAATTTGGCAACAAAATAAAAAGTATTTTAACAAGTATTTTCCATTAATTCATCAGATTAACTTTAGACACATCCTTCATATTAACTGACCTGAGACAGAGATAAAAAGAGATGGCTTCCCTATGGATTGGTCCAACCTACAAAACAAAAAGAATAATTTTTAGTTTTTATCAGCCTGAACCAGCATCTTCACTTTCTCTAGCTGGAGCAGGAGACCTCTTCACAAATAAGCAAATTGAAGTTCAAGTAGTTCTGGTTTGTACTGTGTCGCAGTCACTTTGGGCTAAGAATAGTTTGAAATTAAAAAAATAACAACAAAATGGGATTAGGCTTAGATTCGTTTTTAGCTTCTTCAACCACTGTAAAGTTTTACCATGCCCAACATTTTTCCACGTGAACAGCGTTGTTTCTTCTTTTCCTTGTTCTTCGGCAGCTTGCTTGGTGCATCTATCTGTTATCTCTTAGTTTGCTCATAAGTGCAATTCCACCAGAGCAGGTGACAGTATTTCACTCTGTATGTATAATACAGCCCCTAACATACAGGGGTTACAGCGCATAGTCAAAGCCAGCAGGGACTGAGGCAATACATGTCAGTATAATGAAAATTCTAAGCCCTGATGATCAGATTTTTAAGCTCTTTGCCTTTTCCTTCCTGTGTGAAAAGAAAACCTTACTTGAATGCCACTTTATGTTCCATAACTTTGCAGTCCTACCAATATGGCATCTGTAATCCTGCCAGGTTTTGATCCCCAGCCCAAATCACTGACTTAATTACAAACATCCCTTCACTGCTGTTCAGACACTGAACTTTATTGACATACCTCCTCTGTAACTCCTTGATCCGCACCATCAGGTTGAGGTGGCCCTGTGAATACTGCTCAATAACATCTCGGACATCATAGGGCTTTCTAGCTTGCTGAAAAATAAAAAACCAAAACCCATGCCTTTAAGCCACAAGGATGTAGTAACACTTAAAAGTTACGATTTGGTAGAAAACTTTTTCTTAAAGGTGCTAATCAAATCAGTCAAACGATACAGTAACAATAAACAATAAGCCAGCAGGTCGAGGGAGGTGATTCTCCCCCTCTGCTCCACTGGTGAGACCCCACCCGCAGTGCTGCGTCCAGCTCTGGGGCCCCCAGCACAGGAAAGACACGGACCTGCTTGAGCAGGTCCAGAGAAGGCCATGAAGATGCTCAGCAGCTGGAGCAGCTCCCCTGTGAGGACAGGCTGAGAGTTGGGGTTGTTCAGCCTGGAGAAGAGAAGGCTCCGGGGAGACCTTAGAGTGGCCTTCAAGTACTTGAAGGTGGCTACAGGAGAGGTGGGGAGGGACTCTTGATCAGGGAGTGCGGTGATAGGATGAGAGGTAACGGTTTCAAGCTGAAAGGGGGGAGATGTAGATTAGATGTTAGGAAGAAGTTCTTTTCTGTGAGGGTGGTGAGGCACTGGCACAGGCTGCCCAGAGAAGCTGTGGCTGCCCCCTCCCTGGCAGTGCTCAAGGCCAGGCTTGATCGGGCTTGGAGCAACCTGGTCTGGTGGGAGATGTCCCTGCCCATGGCAGGGGGTTGGAACTAGATTACCTTTAAGCCCCCTTCCAACCCAAACCAGTCTGTGATTCTATATTTCTGACTCATTCATTATGCTGTCTATAGATACTCTGTAGTAATTTTCAAGGTTTGGTAAAAATCTCGGTAACACTGCATTCCTTTCTTGCATCTTTTGAGAACAAAGAAAAGAGTTTACAGTGGCAGCTTCTAACATACCAGAATTTGTATCCTGTTTGAGGTCTCAGAAATGTTTTGTCACCTGTACTTCAAAAGCAGGAGATGCCTCTGCACTGCTTAAACTTATTTCAAATGCTGTAGGTTTTCCTCAATTCCATGCCACAAATACCTTCTTTTTTAAACCAAAGGCAAGTGGGATACAGTATAAAAAACAGGCTGTGGCATCTTCATGCCGTTCCCTGCACCTGCCTGGGAGGTAGCTCCCACATTTTAGGAGTTATTACTTTAATAATATCACTTCATCGAACAAAATATATTTCAGTCTGCCAGATTCCTGAAAGCCAACCGCAAACCTTGGGTGAACGCAAGATACTCTAGTGGAAGGCTAAACAGGAATGGGAATTGCTTCAATCTAACCAAAGAGCACACAGAAGAATTCCCAAGAACCTCGACTGCTTACACACATATAAATCATAACTAACATCTACAAAGAAAGAAGTATGATTCAATGATGGCATAAGCCCATAAGTTTTTCCATGGACTAGTACTGTAAACATGATGATATAAAAAAAAGGAATTCTTGGATTATTTTTGTACTATAAATAAGCAACAGACAAATCTGCAAGATCAGCTCGAACACTGAAGGTTCAGAAAAGCTGTTCAGTAAGAATGACGATGCAGAGCTTTCTCCTGCCATCCTTGCACTCTGATGCAGGTGTCTGAGAGCAGAAAGAGTAGGTAAGTCCCTGCCTGTTTTGCATTTACTGGGCTGCTTCTTTCTCTTTAAAACAGCAACTGAAAACCTGAAGTACAGAATTATGAATGAAGCTTAATTTCTGAGTAGGGCAGAGTATTTAATGGTCACTACTGATTATTCTGTAATTATTTGGTATTGAAAGCTGATCTTTCAAGAGAAAATACCCTTGATGTCGACAACACATTAGTTTTGTAAAAGGAAAAAAGCCTGTATCAGGCAATGGATGAGTACTGAAGAAACAAAAGTAGAAGCCAGCCCCACAGCTTTCCTTGACGACTTCTGTTTCCTTCGTCTCTGCTAATTAAGCAATACTCACGGCAAAAATCTTCTTACACGAGCTAAAATCTCTCCAATCACATACAAAAGTTTGCAAAAGGCACAAAAGCCAACGCCAAATATTAAACATACACTGGTGGCCATGGCTGTTCCCTAGTAACTGCATGCGCAGGAAGGCAGACCCGGGAAAGGGAGAGAGGAATCCCTGCAAGGGGAATTTCTGGAAAATGTAACCAAATAACAGTCAAATAAAATGGGTAGAACATCCTTTGAAGCATAGGACACTCTGAAATACATTGTTTGGTACAGCCCAGTATGGAGATTAGAAAAGATTACAAACACAATTCATGATTCATACCATGACAAATGAATTACATAAGATGATGAATTATAAGACTATAAATGCAAGATTTTCCAACGAAATTGTAACAAACCAGGCAATGGTTACTCGCGTCACTAGTGGAACTGCAACCTGTATTTTTAGTTCATGCTATGTATAGACTATTTGCCATGGTGAAAAAATAACACAAGTTAAAAACATACTTTAGAAGGAAACTGCTTTACTTAACAGGAAGAATTTATATGGAAGGAGAACAAAAAAAAGAGATTTCAAAGTGACAATGGGACACCAGATCAAACTCCCAGACTCTGGATCTGTGGTGGATATCACAGTTGTATCCATGTGCCTAAGTCTTAAGACACTTAGAAACTTTCCTAACTGGAAGACAAAGGTTATTACTCATGAATCCAGCTAATGGAATAACAGCGTATGGTGATTTTCTTTCTGAAATTCAATTGTAAGGTTAGACTGTGCTGAAGACATCTGATTTATAACTAATATATGAGATTCATGTTTGGTAGCTGGGGTGAACAAAGCTGAGAAAATCAGTAATTTCTAAGTACTGTTTGCCCTATAATATACAGAATTCTTACTTAAAGGTGAGCCATTTACCTTCACTGATGCACAGGACTTGTGTTGCACTAGTAGAATATGATCTTTCCAACACAATTTGAAATAGTCCTACAGACTTTACAGGAGCATAATCACATCCATAAACCCGGTGTTAATTCTTTATTATATTATGCTGGGTTCTTCCATGGACATCATCGTATGGACTATATTCAAACCTGGACTTTAAAACAGAGCATAAACTTCTCCCCTTCTTTTAAAAAGGAAATGATGCCCAAGTGTGATGCTTCACAAAGAATTGCTTTTCATGTCCTTTGAAACTTCTTTGTATCCTGGTTTAGCTTCTCTTTATTTATTTGATTTAATTTTTTTAAACAGGAAGGCTCTGCTTTCTAACTGACTTTTGTCCTTGTGGTGCCATCACCCCCTGTTATTAACTGAGCTCTTAAAAAAAAAAAAAAAGTATCGAGGCAAATTTAGGCATACAGGTGTATCCTGCAAACAGCTGGTATAGTTTAAGAACCATGCTGGGTTCATGCTGGGAACTATTTTGCAAAATTTTCCTCTTCCTCTCCTTCTTCCTATGCTTCCCCTTCCCAAAAGCTTCAGAGGCATCTTTAAAAAATACTGCTTTTAAGTGCTGGCTTTGCAATTACTCATGTTCCAGCTAATTTTAAGCATAAATAGTCCAATGGACTTCAGCTGAAATTTGGGTTTTTTTTCAGTAATTATAGAAAAAATTAATCTGAATTTTCTTTTAGGAAGATACATTTCATATAAACACGAGAAGCTTAGAGGGCAAGTATCTACCAGAAAACAGCTATGCAGACCTCTTAAATGGTGAAAGAGACATTTTTAAATTGCATCTTCTGCTTTATCTTAATTTCAGCTACTGCATTGGACTGGTTATTAGAAACTGTATAGTCACTACTTGGCACGTGTTTAAACGTTTTAATTTCTTATGACTATTTTATGTGCATACAATAGAACAAAGAAGCAGATTTACAACATACTTTTGAGGAAAGAACAACGACAGTAGCTATCTTGTAATTACAGGGGAGATTTTCAAAAGCACCTTGTGGCTTGAGTTTCAAGGTGACTTTGTGCATTAAGTTACTTAGTGATTTTGAAAACTGTACCTTTGGTGCTCTCCAAATCTTTAAAGCTGGGCATAACCTTGTATTCAGAAATTATGGAGAAGTATCAGATATCCCACATACATTCCTAGTGGGAGATTCTGCTTCTGACAGCCACAGCAGCAAGTATCCCTTGGACGCAGGAGTGACGTGAGATAAATTTCACTTCAGCCTAACTGACATTTTTGATTCTTTGGTAACAGCTAATATTGATAGCTCAGGAAGGAGAAAGACTAATGAAGGAGGAGAGACAACCTTGTTGAGGGATCTTGTGGATGGCCAGGACCAGGCCTTTTGCAGATGCAAAAGTGAGAGTACAACCGAGAAGCCAGATTAGCAACCGGGATACCGAGTACAAACAAGTTTTAAGTACGAACTGAATAGTCCCATTCTAGTCAGTCAAATGCTTTTTCAGCTTCTATCAAATCATCTGCCGCAGGGGAGTTTCACTTATTTGCCAGGTGGATAATGTTGCACACAGGCATTTTCAAAATCTGTTTTTGACAAATACCACTTGGGAGGTAGATACATAATGTGCGATTTCTTGTTTCTAAGCAGTTTACTTAATACCACGGCAAATATTTTATGATCTAAATTTATGAGAGCAATGATTCAGTAATTACCATGGAGCAAAGGATCACAATCGGGTTTTAGAATTAGAATAAATTAAAGTTTAATGCCACATTTAGGCAGTTTTTCATAGAACAGCAGTGGACACATCACTGGAATGGGCCACGTCCCTTGCCAAGTTACAAGTGCTGGCCAGCCAGTGTTAAGGAGCTTCTCAACAAAATGACTATAAAAATTATTCTCAAGTAGTCCAGACATTGTGCCTTTCTTAATTTCAGTCTTACTAAAATAACAGGTGAAACGTGCTAGCAGAAAGTTTCTGAAACCGCTCTCTGGACATGGGAGATTTCAGCCTAAATGGTGTCAGTTTGAATACATTACACACAACCAAAACAAATTTCTGAAAAGCTCAGGCAACCTTAGCCGTAAATTACCTCATGAAGTACAGTAAAAACAAAAAGATCCAAAGTAGAAAATTACTAAAGAATTCAGTCAGGATTACGGTTTTGAAGTAGCAGCAAGCGTCACCTTACAGAAACAATAATCTCTTGGACTGTTAGTCATCATCGTCATCTTTTTGATCCTAAGCTTTGCGCCCTTCAAATTTGAAGGAAAAAGGACACCCTCCCCAGGGTCTAGACCTAGGGGGTCTAGATTAAGGGTGGGAAAGCTTTTTAGTCTGTTGTAAGCAGTAGCTGCAAGGTCACATATGAAATGGATGTGGGCAGTCAAGCCCATCTCTTTCTGCGCATTTTTATTTATGAAGCCTGTTCTCTGGATATTGTCCCTTATTAATTAATTTTAAGTAAAGCAATATATTTCTTAGATAGATATATATATTCACCTGGTTTAAATCAAGCTGAAGGCTGTTGACACGTGTTTTTAGTGGATTAACGAAATTGATTTAGAAACCACATTCTTGGGAAGTTTGCAGTCAGAATTTTTTTATTCACAACAGGCAACAGGGTTAATTAGCTACTGTTAAATGCTTACGGTATCACAATATCACAGCAAGGGAAGCTGCACACAGGAAACGTATGTCAGTGAGGGCTAGAGGAGTAAAGAGAACCGATACCTCATGAACTGGGAAGGAGGTCTCCTACCTATGCAGAGGAGGGAAGGCAAAAGGAAGGAGAAATCTTCCAATACGCTAACAAATTTCCACCCTGGTTTCTTATCAGGACTTCATTATCATTGAGTAAGAGACAGAAACAAGGCTGAGGTAGTATTTTAATCTCTAATCCTACTGACTCAGCATGACAGCAACATACAGCTCAGAATTAATGGAGACATATGAGAATGTTTGCACTGCGAGAAAGAGACAGCGATAACAGAGGGTTAAAGGTCAAGTCCATTAGCAGAAAATAACGTTTTAATTCAGACTGCATTTCAGGAGTTTAGCCTCTTTCCAGTGCACCCACAGTTGACTAACCTGCTGCTAAACAACCACCCTATTGAAGGAGGGAAAGAATAGCAGGTGTAGCTCACCTTTATTGAAATGAATTGTGCTAGTCTTTCTTAAGTTTCCAAAAGAAACAATGAATCAGGAGAATAAAAGGGTTTCTTTAGAAAAGGAGCTTTCTATTCACAACTCACCTGAAACTTTTTCTTTGCCACAAAATACTGCATCCTACGAATCACCTTAATGGCAGCGCGGTGGTGTTCTCGCAGCCTGTGGGAAAATCGAGGAAGGTGAGTGGGGTGAAAGAGCATCTCCATGCAGACAATAAACACACCAGTCTGCAGTGAATGCTTCACTAACGCGCGAACGTGTAACGTAAGCACTGCACTCCAGCCTGGGAGCACAGCACACTGTTATGCTGACCTTCCCCACCTTTCAAGGAGGCTGTAAAAATCCAGGATTTTATCTGACCTGTGCTAGGTTTGCATACATTTCACAGTAAAAAGAGGTGTCCACATCACCTCCTCCTAACTGTAAGCAAACCTCCATCCATCTTTCCCAGTTTCATTTCCACAGAAAAAAAAAAGCTATCAAGTTTCTGCATATTCAGCCACGTACGGCTTTTATACACAGTCACTCTAGAAACCCAGCTTTTGGGTTTTTATTGTGGATTTTTTGTGGTTTGTTCCCCACCCCCCCAAGTCGTGTACAACATGTTTCTTCACTTATACAAATTTGTTTTTCAAAAATTATTTTAAAAAACCACTTTAAAACCCACTTTTGAATCACTGACTGCTAAACAATCCAAATGACCTTGTGGAAGCTGGATGCAACATCTACATACATATGTATCCTAAAACCGAACTGTAAGTGTATACAAAGACAAAATAATTTCCAAGGTCTTTAAACAAATATATCCCCCTCTTCATGCACACGCATATGAACTGAAAACAGAATTTAAAAAAAATAATTTGCTTTGTACCCTAAACCAACAGATTTTCATAGTATCTGACATTATTTTTTAAACTGCTCATTAAAAGCAACAGATACTTTAAATTTTTCAAAACTTGCAAAAATGATGTATTTTTATTAGCATTAAAATATCAAATCAAATATTTAAGCTGTGCTGATGATTTATTCTACTTGCTCATTCTATGACTCTTACCAATGCGCTTGAATGACATTATTGCACAATCTTTATTTCCTTTTTTAAATGCATGAACATCCAGTATTTTTAACTCTCATCCCTGACTTCTAGTGATGGCTTTGGGGAAGCAGCAGGAAAAGCAGTGTTAGATATTCCAGATGTTTTATCTTTATAAAATTGTTAGTAGTAATACTGATAGACCAGCATATTGAGGTGCCACAGGGCAGTGCTTTCTGTCTGTACTGAACCTGATGGCATTCATATTCACTACGGGATGGAAAAGCTCTGTACAGGTTTGGGTCTTCGGTATGACCTAGCATGCTATCACCCAAGACTCTTCAGTTAAATATAACCTGGAATTTTAGTGAGTATTCACGTATTTCCTCAGGACAAATTTCCCCCAGCAAACAGAAGTTCTTCACACACAAACAGTTGATGTCTGTCCTCGGAACAGCATGGTAAGTGTAGCTGGGGTGTCCTCTTTCTGAAAACTCACACTTTTTAGTGGGAAAAGCGCTTTCTGCAAAGCCATAACCAGAACCATAAAAAGCTCTCATTTTCTACTGGTAGATACTGCCTCTCGAGTGGTTTCTTTCTGTTACAGAAATCGCTCAGATTTAGCAATGACAGAAAAGATTACTTTCTCTTGATACAGCGTAAAATATGGTTGCTTTTCAAACTGCCATCGTTCAGCTGCTCACCACAGGTCTACAGACCGCTAAGACTGTACGTGCACTGATATAAAGAGACTCAATAATGACGCACCGATCCGTGACTCTGCAGCTGGGTCTGTGCAGGGAGGCCCTTCCCCCTGCACACCTTACCGTGATGCCCAAGAGCCTCTCTCCAGGTCCCGGCTCCCGCAGATCTGAACTGACATAGCATCCCTGTTCTGGGAGCCCTTGCTGCGTCACTCTGCTGCTAGGGACAAGGACGGCTTTCCCAAACACCAAAAAAAATAAAGTGTTTGAGGTTTTATAAATCCTGCTTATAAAATCACAGGGATGGGAGACAGAGAGATAAATGCTGCTTAATTTGCTACTAAATACCAAAGGTGTGAAAGTGTAACTATCGGCAGCTATACATCCTATACATAAACGCACACAAAAACATCTTAAAACAAATGGAAATAAATTTCAATTGCAATAAAACTGCCTGTAGTATTTTGGTTTATGCCTCATTTCCTGTGGGGTGTTCTTCACAGTCCATTATTTCTGAGTAAAATATTTTTCTTCGGGACAGACCATCACTAGTAAAGCACACCAAATCCCTCAGTCTCTATCTAGATAACGAGTCTCATCTACAAGCAAGACAGCTAGATAATAAAAATGATATTTGTCATTCAGTGAAATAATAAAACTATACCACCATTGATTTTCCAATGCAGCTATTTCACATCAGTCATTGTTCAGTGTTAACATGAACTTCCATGCCAGGAGACGAAGTTAATACTCTCATTTTATTCCTTCCCATTTCCAGTTCCAGTAGGAAACCTTACAGTAAGCTTGTTTCTGCTAATGCTGTAAAACCTAATTCTGCACAACAGGCTGTCCTGATTCCCCAAGATTAAATGCTTCTGCGATGAGGGAAGGGAATAAAGGATTTAATTAGTAGCCAAGGTTATGATTCACAGTTGTTTGATCTCTTTCGCAAACTGGTAACAAACGCTTTAGTAAATTGAGAGCTTAACCATTAACTGGTGATATTGGTTTGTTCAGCCACTTGCGACATCTCTGAATTCTGGTTACAGAACGGCTGCCTGCAGCCTCTGGGGATGTACGGCATGCTCAGATGCCAGATAGCCACCTCACTGCCCTCGGAGCAGGAGCTTCACAAATACCTTTTTTTTTTTTTAGGAGTGTGGCGGGAAATGACATCATCCAAGAGTGCTTACAGACAACAGCAACACGCCTTCGCTGTGCACGCCTCCCCACACGAGTGGGAGACAGCCTTTGGAGAAGCTCTGCCGGGCAGGGCAAGTCTCCGATGGCAGGGTCGCCTCCCCCCCCCCAGGGAAGGGGTTTTTAGGGATTGCAGGGATATCCCGGAGAGCCCAGCTGCATCAGGGGAGCTGTGGGAGCTGAGCTCTCTTGCAATTGAAATCCCTCATTCTTACACATTTTGGTTTGCCTGACTTTGGGAGAAAGCTGGTTTGAGAAGCGCATTACCAACAGGGTCAGCAGACAAGGTTTAAAGCTTCCAACACTAGACAACATCTCAGCCTGCACCTTTCCAAAGGAAAACTCCCAATAGCTTACACTGGCTATAATTTTCCTTCTCAATATAAACAGGACATTAAGATTGCCTTGAACACAGCACATACTACGTGACATTTCCCATGGACTTAAACTCATAGAATTAGGTCCCAAAGCCGCAACATTGTCAGAACCTGTAGGACTGATCCAGAAGGATGGAGGAGGATATAACAATTCAGCAATACAAAACCATCCCAGTAGTAATAGGGTCAATAGATTCACACAAACCTACATAACTTGTAGGTATAAACTAGGTTTGCTTTATTTGTGCACTGAAAAAGTAACCTGTTGCAAATGTAGGCACTCCTCAAAGCATAGGAAATGAGGACAAAAAACTCCCTGGCAACAAAATACAATAGATTGAGCACCTACATCACAAAAGAAAGCCTGACAGAATGAAATTACTAGAAATCACTAGATTTTCCTGTCTCCTTTTGCTGTCAGGATACTTAACCTACAACAAGTCATTTGGAGGAAACCTGACCTCTTCATGAGTCCATCAGAAATCTGGACTAGAATTTCACGTAATTTGGAAAACAAGCATGCTTAAGAGCTGCAGGTAATTTTACAGACCTTCTCATTTGGCTGGAAAGTTGTTACACATTTATAAATGCCCAAACCTATAGTAATGGAGCCATCGTACATTTGACCGCAATGTTACTCATTTTTTCACAACACAGCTGGGGAAAACCTCCCAAGGTGTGGCTCATTCCCCGGTACCTCACTCACTGACAGTGAATGTCACCGGCTCCAGCCAGCACCCGCCTGCCTCATTCCTGCACAGGGACCTGCAGGGCCACCCCAGAAGAACGCTTTCTGGGACCAAGGCTAAGATTTTTGGTTACAAAAACCAGGTGGCTTCACAATAAAGGAAGTGAGCAGTTGCATGGTTTGGTTGTTTCACATTTCAAGAAAAACTTCTTTTTTTTTAAAAAAAAAATATGAAGTTTTACAAGATCAGTCCCTATTCTGAAAGACACAGTTCTGTCATTAAAGAACAAGAAAGGAAAACCAATTACTACTTAGAAATATTTATTGTCCTTACAAAGCTGCTGAATTTTATATCAAATCCTTAGTAATGCCATTAGAAGTTTGTTCCCCTTTTCATCTCAGGAAGGTGTTCTACATATTGGTTTAGTGTTAACAGAAATATTAAAGCAACAAGACAGAGGAAAGGTGGTGTTCATTTCCTATTTATAACACTTGCCTTTTTGTTCATTTGTAGAACATTTTATTATCAGGACCATAATGTCTGGCACAGACCTCCCAACATACACGGACACTGATATTATCAGAGTTAAAAGGTCAGCGCTGTCTGTTCAGAGTGAGGTTAACAAGAATGAAAACTCAGTAGGAGAGAGCCATGGATTTTTAATATCTTTTACAAAATGCCCTTTTCTCAGTAAACCTAACACTGATTTGAAGTCAAGCTCAGTTTTCAAACATATTTAAATTCTCTGCAGTCATCTTAAATTTCTGTCTTCGGACAGAGCTAAAGTATTAAGAAAGGAGGCTGAAGTTGGTTGGCCTTAAGTTTTTGGCACTAATCATTATTTAGACTTGAACTTTAACACATCAGATTTTAATAAGATGTTGTACATGTGAACTGAAGTATTTTTTCCATTCAGGCACTGAAAAGCACTCCTTGTCACAGAATCTGGTGGACAAGATTCAGAGTAACTACATTAAGCTATTTTATTAGTGCATTTAAGTCTAATGAAATCTTTCATCATTAGTCCTCCAGGCACTTTTGGTATAGAATTTGCCGTGGCTCAAGGTCATTCTTGTCTTTTCACACGTTCTATCATTCCCTGCCCATTTCAGTTGATGGGAGTCTCTCTGTACTGGGCAACAGTTTAGAAGCGGTAGGTCGGAAGGGATTAGGTTGCATCGCTGTGTGTTCTGCAATAAGAAATGCTTGATCACCGTACCCAGGAACAAAATCAGAATCACTGGCTATTTCAAATAACGTGGGCTACACAGCTTTTCCGTTCGTTTGCTGCTAGAGCTTGGCAACTGTTCTTTGCCATCATTACGATATTTTTATCAAGGGCTCTTGACATATACCCTGGCCCATAAATGATTCACAAAAACCGTCTTAACGACAAACCAGTAAAAGCTGCCGAGAAGTGTTAGAAAAGTATGACAGGACTTGAAGAGCAAACTAGTTACAAAATTCAAGTTTTATTAAATGGGCTTCAGCCAAGCTTAGTGTTTACATAAATGCTCCCATAACATTTTCAGTGTATTAATGTGTTTATTTTTAATGGACAAACATTCTTTACTAGACCTTGCCCTCTGGACTTCCCATCCATTCGTGAAAATAAAGTTAGAAACTAGTGACAAGACAATTGAAATGAAGTCAGCTGTCCCCCACAGTCCTCACCTCCAGAGTCTTCACAGGTTTAAATGCAATAGGAATACAGAAATAACAGATGTGCATAGAACATGGAGAATCTCTAATAGCAGCTAAGCTAGATTTCCAAAACTTTTTTGGTCTTAGGCAGTCAAAGACATTATTGGCAAACAATCTGGTTACGAAATATCTCTGTCTACTGAACTCTTATTCATGTTTGCAAATTGGTCATCAACAGGTAAGATTTCATCAAGTGCATTTGTCCATCTAAGCACCAAATAATTCAATGTCAGCAGCAAATTATTTCTATGGAGACATTTGATTAATAATTTCTGCAGAATAATATGTTTTGAGTGTTTGAATTTAAAAATACAAGCTGCTTTGACTGAAATGCATGTGTCTCATAATGTAATTTTTGTTCCCTACCTAGGAGAATGAAGGGGCTGTCTTCCCATAGGAATATTAGTGATTATAAATTTAAAAATTGCTCTGCAAGAATACTCCGTAAGAGTAATGTCAAATTCACTCTTTTGGTGAACCCTTCTGCCAGTAAACATCTTGGTTATTATTTACTGAATGTGAACGTAGCCCTGGGGGAATTAGCTTAAGCTGAATCAACATTTGTAAGTTCCTCCCCCCACTATGTATTTTCCCAACTATCTGTGGTTGGTCTTTTTTTAATTTAAATTATGTAATTTTAAATCCACAGTCATCTCTTAATGGATTTGTATTTTACTTTACAGCAGCTTTCATGCCTCCCTTCTCAAAAGTCATGGTCTTAACTCAGAAATCCTTTCATGTAGTTACAGCAATCCTCTTTTCTCTGTTACAGATAGTCTGGTTCAGCTTGGTTTGCGGATTTTTAAGACATGCAAAAAAGAACAACTTAAAAAAAGTAACATTGCCTTTGGAGGATTTTGATGTTTTAGTATCTTCAGTTAATAATAAAAACAGCCTACTATTATCAGAAATGTTTTAAAAAGGAGAAAAATTGTGCAGGTTTTTCATAGTCACGCCATTGGAGCACGGTACCCAAAGGGAGGAAGCCGTCGGAAAGACGCAGGCTCCCCATGGGGCGGGCAGCCCAGCGACCACAGCAGGGAGCGTGCCGTGCCCTCCCCAGCTCTCGGAGCCTTCGCGCAGCGATGGCAGCTGGCGGGAGACCTGATCAGCCGCATTTGACAGGTCGGAAGGGCTCCCAAGCTCCGCATCGGTGGCCTGGGAGAGGCGTCCGAGGACGCAGGAAGTGGGGGTTCATACGGGAAGCAG